AGATCTGGGGGTCTAATAGACCCCATATCTCTTCATAAAGAGGATCTGTCACGACCCATGCTTTCACAAGGGATGCTGTTCAATAAAAGTTGATTAAAAAAAAAAAACACAAGATATATATATATATATATATATATATATGTATATATATATATATATATATATATATATATAAACATTTGCCAGTGTGGGCTCAAACATGAAACCAATCCACCTGTTCCCACGTACCTGCATACTTGTTAGTGACAGAATTCTCAAGGGGGAGCTCCAGAAGAAGCCTTGCTACTGTAGTCCTTGCAAAAATGAGCACATTTGGTTTACCATACTATAACTAAAAATCAGTTTTGCCAAGATGGTTTACTTACTGGGACATTTTCAGATCCCCTGGTCTTCATTATAAGGTTTCTCCTGTTAGTAAAACTCCTGTGTGAGAAGCCTTTAAAAGAAGCAGCCATTCCTGACCCACAGACCACATAGGAGTTCCACAGCAGCAATGAACAGGTTGAGTATGTGGCACATTTCAGGGAACAGCTGCTTTCATCAGACCTTTGAGACCACAAGTGTTTTGTGTTTTCCCAGAATCTCATTAGCAAACCTGGTATAATATTTCTGACTAGTTACCTACTAACTAGCCATAGTTAGCTGAGATTTGTTAACAACCCCAAGTGACAGAAGCACCATTATTTTAAAAAGTCACCTAGGTTTTTTTCATCTTTCTTATGGCTCTCTTAAAACAGGTAGGTAGCAACTGTTTCTTTGTTGCAACAATCAAAACTACTGGTTTACCAATTGGTCAAAATGGATAAAACAATGCGGTGTGTTTGGCAGCTGCAACCAGGGAGAAACAGCCATCAAGGATGGACATCCACCTGTTTCAAGAAGCAACCAGAAAACTAATAGGCTGAGAATGGTATTCCTGCAAAATGCCATCTTATTCCACTGAAAGAGAATAGCAACTTGCAAAGTCACATCACATTTTTCACAAGAGAAAGGAGGCTCACAAACATGCACTCAAAGCACATACATCTTTCTAACAGCATTCACAATCCATCCTACTACTAACAACAGAAATACTGCAAACTAATTCTGAAAGTTGTAGTTATATTAAACCAGAAATCCATCAGTTCATTACGGTGGAGGAATTAGGAGTGCACAAGATTCATATGCAGTCCTTCAAAAGGATGACAAGTACAGAGCAGAGAGGTTGGCTGTTTTAAAAGGAAATTGCAATAAGGCCTGCCTACAGCAACCAAATGTAGGCCATAGATCCAAATGAACCAATCAGGCTTTTACTAATCTGCAGTATAAACAGCAGGCCCTGTATTCTGGCAATGTCAGATCCACCTTCACTCCCTGTGGACTATAAAATCACAGCGGCATGAAAGCAAATGAAGTCATCTTTGAGAGAGTTGCCCTCATCCTGGTTCAAGAGCGGATACCTTTAAGCTGGCCATAGATAAATCGAATCTGAGCTGGTTCAGCAGAGACCAACCCAGATTCGATCCATCTATGGGCAGGTTTTTTTTTGCATGCAATTACTGTCTGTGGCTATAGCCACCAGCAGTAATCGTTGTGTTTTACCTGCAGGGAAGTCTCCCCACCAACAAAACACAATATCGCTGTGGGAGGGATGAGGGAATTGAGTGATTTTCTTTCCTGCAACCCACAGTTGAAGGAATAAGAATAGCATCATCTATGGCTTGCCTATGTGCGCAACAACGTCATTATGACGACCAGAGTAGCACCCCCCTCCTGCTCACCTCCAGGATTTCTCCAAAGCCTCTCTCGTCCTCAGGAACTCTCTACGTCAATCTGTTCAGCTATCTCCTGCTTTGTTAACTTTTAGATGCTGCCTGAAAACTTATCTCATTAAAGAAGCCTATCCTACTTTCATCTAATAAACTGAACTTTTTACTATTCCAGCAACTCACCTCCACTTAGTTATTACTGTGTGTATTACTTGTCCCTTTCTTTCTGATCGTACACTCTCACGAGCAGGGCCCTCCTAACCCTCTTGCCTTGCATTGTATTCTAACTCAGTCTCTCTTTAGTGCTGTGCAAACTGTTGGTGCTTTTTTACATCCTGTATAACAATGGCAAGGGCAGACCAGTCATTGCCAAAATAGAACAGTGTACATATACGGTTTGTGCATCATAGATTAGTGAGAGTATGACTGGTTCTCTTTAACACAACAAAATTCCTCCTAAACAGAATCCTCTTGTTCTGCTGTTACTTTACAAAAATGTTGACATCAGGTAGGAGATAAACATTACATTTTTTTCCCTTAATTCAGCTATTTTCTGGACTAGGCAGATTTTTAAAAGACAGAAGCTGTTGTCTACTTGGTCACTAAAGGGCTTATGAATGAGAAGTATGTATAGCAACTCTTCATGTTTCAACTGTGATACCTCAGCCCTATTAGGAAACCAAATATTAAGCTTCATCTCAGAAAATGCCTGCCACTGTTG